TTTAAAGGACTGTATGTTTTTTGTTTTGTTTTGTTCTATTCTTCTTCTTGTGGTACACATTTAAATGTGCACCGCTGCTTGTTCTGCCTTGTTTTGAAAGGCCCAAATTTACCTCAAGTTTTTGCTTACTACCGGATTTGATTAGTCCAAAGAGCACATTAAGTACTTGTTTATTTATTTTTTTGCTGTATACTTCATTTATAATACATTGTACAGTACATAATTGTATACATTTTGTAAAATAAACAGCTTTAATTTAATTAATAGACATTGTGTGGAAAATAATTATTGTGTGTAGTGTAATTGAACCCTCTACGTATTGACCCCCCCAAATAACCTTGCCACCCCTGTTTTAAAAGTCTAAATCTGCCACTGAAGGAGAAGATGCATAAAAACCAAAAGCTCCCAACAGTTGTAGATCTACAGTAAGTCAACCATTACTAGAGAAGCATGGATATCAGCTCTGATATTGACTAATTGGCTGGATTGGATATCGGTGATTTGATACCGGATATCGGGGAACCAATCCAGTGCACCCTACATTGAACTGTTATTTCTTTCTTTTTGCTGCTTATTTGTTAATAAATAACACAAAGTGCATTAATGCTGTTGTTAGTCTGTTACCTTTTTTTTAACAGCATTTTTGTCAATTCTAAAGCTGGCAAGATATATGGTTCCTTTATTAAATAATTAAATGGTATTGGTATCTGATATGGGCCAATATGCTCAGCCCAGGTGTCCATTGGGGACAACTAGACTGGTGTATCTCTATCCATTACTAAAGTAAAACTCCTTGTTTTTATAGTTTTTCCTTTCATTTACGTTCATGCTTCCTTTTTTGTTTTTTCTGGCCCCACAACATGCATCTATTATATTTCTCAGTATAGCTTTTTACCAGCTAAAACTAAGATCTTGTTGGATTGTTCTCAATGTTTCATGCAAAAAACAGTCAAAACTGCTTAAGCTGTAGGGTACGATAAGGGAGTTTTAAAAAGTGCTTCTGCTTGATGCTCTATTTTCTCTCATCCACAGTCTGTTGTTTTGCTAAAACCCACCAGTTGTGAATATGTATTTAAATATGTCTGATGTCAAAGGGCATTCAGAGCTTGAAAAGCTAACGGGGATCATTATTCATCCTTGAGGTCATCTTCTTTCAGATGACCCCTACAGCTGAATCGTGGGCCCAGTCTGTGCGGCTTGTTTTATTCATGAAGCTCATTTTCTTTTCCCCTCTGCATAAGTTTTCTAGCCAACACTGGTTAGCTCACTTAGGTGAGTTTGAACTCGCATGAAAAATGTTTTTTCAATTGGCATTTCAGCCCTGATAGCTTCTGCTGCATCCATAAGCCCGCTGGCCTCTCCACCTCCCATTAAGCGTAATGCAGGGTGGAAATGTCTCTCTTAACTCGCTGAGCACCTCTCAAATCCCTCGGAGACCAATAGTCGAAAATGACAGATCGGAGGGCGCCTCGGCATGGCATTTAAGGCTGCTAACGAGATAAAGCGGCCGAGCTTGGCACCTCTCACCCGCTCGCTACTCCTCTGTCCTGCTTACTGTCATCCGTGCAGCTAAAAAGCTTAAGCGGTGAAACCCGTGAAGTGGGAGGCACAAGCCGGCTTGGCTTCATCCCCCTCTGTAGCCCCCCTCCTTTACAAATCTCCCTTCTCTCCTTCTTGCTTTAATTCCTCCCACCACTGGCACATAATTAAAAAGTGCTGGGCTCAGTGCCCAAGTGGCTGAAGGCTATGAGTCACTCCCCAGGCTTGGGAGAATGAAGAATAAATCACTTGGGGGGAGGAGGACTGGAACTTCTTTCCTCCTACACCTAGGTTCATTTAGGGGGGACCCTATTACCAGGCCCTCCTATTACCCTGTCCCACCGGCCTGAATTTATTTGTGCTTATCCCCCACCACCATAAAATTATAACTTGCCGTAATAATTTCTTGCTTGATGCAGTCCAATCCAAGGTTAATAGCAGCCTAGCTGACTTTGAGGAGGCTGAAGGATGCCAGTGCTCCAGTGCTCTTTTACTCCCCATCCACCCTCCCCGTATTGTTTAGCCCGTAAAAGTAGAGCAGACACAGGGCTGTGGAAGTGCCTCCAACGAGTTATTGTCCACGGCCACCCTGTTAATGGTCCCCCAAAGTGCTGTAAGTGTCATTCTCATGGGGGAAACTGTCATTAAGTCTCTGATCAAACCCTTAAGACCCTCACTGTTTTAGTGCATTTTCAGCCCTGAACCACACGCCATCTTGATCCATCCCACAGAATAGATTTGCATCTAATGAAAACAGCTCAGTAAAGAGAAGTTCCCGTTAACTGCTTATGAATAAAGAATTTTTGTGGAGCTAAAACCCTCCGGTCAAGGAAACTCCCGGTCATCGTGGGACCTCAGTGTTTGTATGGCGTGTTCGATGACTATAGAAAAGTTGTCTTCCACAGCTGGTTTGTAACAAACTATTCTTACTTTACAGTCAAAGTGACTGAAGCTTGCCCAATAAGCAGACTAAAACTGACAAAAATCCTTTAAAGAACTCCCCTATTCCTCACAAAGCCATAAAAACAATTAAATAAGGATTAAGAGGGGACCCTGCATTAACATTTGAATCATAGATGAATCATATAATGAGGGGCCAGCATAATATTTGAGCAAATTATGACTAAAACATTAGTAGAATCATAAAAATCTCAAATTATTCAGAATCAGTGAAAAAATATTACCCATAATAATGAAGGAATTTCAAAGAAAATACCAGTATTAAATGAGGGACAGTTATTACCAGGGTCTGGTGATCTGATGGAGTAAACAGGCCTGTTCTGACACAATGCCAAATATGAAAGCAATGATCTTAAGAGAAAAAAGAAATACTTTTTTCATCCATCATTATCTGAAGGGTCAGACCACATCCCAAGATTTTTTTTTTTAAATCCACCATCCTACACAGTTGTAATTCATGAACAAATGATTCAAGATCCTTGCCAATCTGCCCAGAAGGGGGATTCTCTCCAAATTTATACCCATATAAGACTTTGCAATGTCTATAGTAATGCTAAAAAAATGAAACAAACAAGGAACAATCATTTCTCACTTTTAGAGAATTTAAGGGACTTTTAAAGACTTCGACAGGAACAAATGTGTGTAAGTATTAATGAACTGTAACACTATTGTCAAGAAAATTGGAGCGAAATTGCATCTGCAATGATGGGAGAGAGTTACTGTATATAAGGATTACTTCAAAGGTATTGCTGCTATAGGTTGTTCTACCATCTACTGAGTCATTGCCTTTTCTCATGACCGGATGACTTTATGGGAGTTCTTCTATGCTAAGTAACATTCGAGGGATCATAAAAGATGGAGCGAAGTGTCCTATCCAAATGGTTTGATCTCTTAAACCCTCTGAAGTGAAGCTGAGTTTCATATTGGTCACAGCTTTGGTGGAGAAGAGGATTTCTGTAATACTTTAGGATGCCACTACAAGCTCATCATCCAAATAGTCTTCCTGGTCTTCCTGTTCAAGGAGATATCTGAGGTCTGAAGCTCTTAATTAGGACTTTTACAAAAGGGGGTAAAACTCCTAATTAAATTTGTCAGTATTAATAATGAAAACATGTGTCTATGTTTATAATAGAAAATCTGAAATTCTAAGAAACAATCTGGTTTTATTTACTAAGTAATAAACTATAAGGGCCTTTGGGATCTCCTAAATTCTCCCCAAAGACTTACTCTTCATGATTTTCTATGATAAATAAATCCATAGGCTGCTCAGAAATGCATGCTGGCCACTTTAAATAAGGTTCACATATTCACTATAACTAGAAAATAGAAAAGCAGATCATATGAAATGCCCACCATGCCTTTAGATTTAACTCACTTTCATATAGTAATCGATCAATTTATAAGCTAAACGTGTTTAATGTCTGTTAGCGATGACAAAATGACTACAGAATTTTGTTTTTCTTTTTTATTTAAAATGTCATTTTCAGTGGGAAATCTAACTCCAAATGTATTTGGTTAAACTTTAATACTTAATTATTTGGTCTTCATTTGTTTTAGAGAAAAAAAATACAAAAAGGTGTTGATCTATGAAAATGATTTGGTCTTGTCATTGAGAAAAAGCTGAATATTTACTCGAAACACAATTATTTACCAGTTAAAAAAATGTGAATGGAAAGTTAAAAAGCGCAAAGTCACGCATCCACTGTCCAGAAAGCAACATGAACTCAATTCTGTTCTTTATCACATTTTGGATGTAATCTAAAGTATTTTTTTTATCCATTGTACAGTATGCAATGGTATTATGTTGATATTTATTCCATTTATAGCTATTAATCGTCATCCTTTGTTTTTTTAACCCATCATGAGGCTCATGTCTAGGAGTTTTTTTGGTCCAGGTTACAGCCTGGAGATCATAAAGTCAATGAGAAGTTCCAGAGTCATGTTTTTTGTAGTTGCCTGTCTGGGTTTAAAGTGTCTGGTCAGAACGTGGCCTCAATGTCGGAACCAATAAAAAGAAATAACCATAAAATGGTTTCTTAATGACGAAAATGACCAGATAAAAAGCTTGGTCACAAAGCAGATCAAAATTAGACCTAATCTTAGGGTTCCATTGAAGCTAAATTATCATGTGCTCATGAGGTTTGATGACAATACATGTCCTAATAACAGTGTTCTGTTAAAGGCCTCATACAGAGAAACTGTCTTGAATTATGTGCCTCATCTTTAGCCAACAACAACTAAAAAGCTTTTAGCAAATTTCTTTTTGTTGCACCTTCATTTTGTAACATTAGCTGCATGTGCATTATTGTCACAAATACAGTACAGCTTCTCAAAGTTATTAAAGGGTGGGGGGAAAAAAAGGAGAAACATGATTTGCATTGAGTAGGAGCATTTTTTAAAGGAATTATTGGTGTGAGTGGAGCTTTGAGCCAAAGGTAGTGAGAACTGAAGTCAATATTTTCTGCTCCCATCTCTCACCTCTATCTCTGCTTCTGTTTCAGATCCACATCATTGACTTTGATGATGAGAATAACATCATTAATAAGAACGTCCTCCTGCACCAAGCTGGAGAGATATGGCACATTGCTGCCAGTCCTGCAGATAAGGCTGTAATTACCACCTGCTATAACAAAAGTGAGTCCTACATTTTGCATCTTTTACTTTCGGCCATGTTGATTCTATTTGAGTGGTTTTATGTTTGTTTCTTATGATGTAAGGCTACGTTCACACCGCTGCCTAAAGTGACCCAAATCCGATTTTTTTGGCCCATATGCGACCTGGATCAGATCTTTTCCTGGCTGTCTGAACAACACAGATCAGATTTTTTTCCAATACGACCCAGGCCACTTGGCTATGTGGTAGGGTTGTCACGTTACTAAACTTTTCAACTCGATACCGATACTAAGGAAAATATTCGATGCTCGATACCATTTTCGATACCACAAGGATTAAAACAAAGAATCCAAAATTCTACAGAAATATTTTCATTAATAAATACAACAAATAAATACAATAAAGGTTGTATGCTGTGCACAATATTAAGCAAGCTTGATAAAAAACTAAATTAAGTGTTCCTTCCTTGGCTATGCTTTGCACACATAACAATGACACTAGCCAAACCGGTTAAGAAACAAAAATAATTCTCAGCAGCTGCACCTCTTACAAAAAAAAAGTCTGAAACTGAAAAGTGCACAGAATTATTCAATCACACAGTGTTCAGAAAGTGCATTTTCCTCTATTCTGCACTTTAGATAAATGACTGTTTAGGTGCCACTGATGGTGGCATTCTATCGATACTTTTGAAAATGAGTATTGTATCCGGATACAACGTTTCAGTATCGATACTTTTTTGAGTATCGATACTTTTGACAACCCTACTATATGGTCCTGAATCTGATACGAATCTGATCTTTTCAAATGCGACCTGTGTCTAAACTGCCAGGTCGCATTCGTCCGACCTGAACACCATTACTAACCGACATAGGTCACTATTCTGCTTCTAGCTACACAGAAGCGGCAAGAAAAACAAACACCATGGCAGACGATGCGGGGAGTAGTATTTTTATTTTTTTTTAACCGTCTTGAAAAGATTGAGGTTTTAAGGTTTGGAAAGATCACTAGATGCGCTCCAGCATTACATCCATAATCACAGAGCACACTGGCTTGTGACGTTATTGCGTCCTCTACTGTGAATGCGTTATACTTAAGGTTTTTGAATGCAGTTCACACAGGAGAACACAAACAAGTCGCATATATTTTGAAATGTGAACAGCAAAGGAATAAAATGAGGTTTCACAAAAAATCGGTATTGAGCATCAAGGCCTGCAGTGTGAATGTAGCCTTGGTTATATGTGATGCATGTTTGCTGTAGCCAAGCCAACTCTACAGAAAGCAGGGCCTATTCAAGATCCAATGGCTGAACTAATACAGTCATATGAAAATGTTTGGGCACCCCTATTAATCTTAATTATTTGTATTTCTAAATATTTGTGTACAGGTATTTCAGTTTGATATATCTACTAACTGATGGGCACTTAATATTTCAGTATTGAATTGAGGTTTATTGGACTAACAGAAAATATGCAGTATGCATTTAAAACAAAACTTGACAGGTGCAAACATTTGGGTGCCCTAATCATTTTATTAATTTGTATACCCTGAACTACTTTTCACTAAATTACTAAAACACAAAATTTGTTTGGTAAATTTATTAAGATTTGAACTTCATAGCCAGGTGCATCCAATAAGGTGGCCAGTTTCAAGTTGTTCTCCTGTTTGAATCTCCTCTAAAGATTCATCATGGGCGCCTCAGAACAACTTTCAAATGATCTGAAAACAAAGATTATTCAACATAGTCGTTCAGGGGAAGGATACAAAAAGTTGTTTCAGAGATTTAATCTGTGAGGAACATAGTAAGGAAATGGAAGACCACAGGGACAGTTCTTGTTATGCCCAGAAGTGGCAGGCCATGGAAAATGTCAGAGAGGCAGAGAAGAAGAATGGTGAGAATGGTCAAGGACAACCCACAGACCACCTCCAAAGACCAGCAGCATCATCTTGCTGCAGATTGTGTCAATGTGCATTGTTCAGCAATTCAGCACACTTTGCACCAGGAGAAGCTATATGGGAGAGTGATGAGACAGAAGCCTTTTCTGCAAGAAGGCCACAAACAGAATCGCTTGAGGTTTGCAAAAGCACATTTAGACAAACCAGCTTAATTTTGGAATACTTTCCTGTGGACTGATGAAACAAAGATTGAGTTTTCTGGTCATAAAGAAGGCGTTATGCATGGCATCAAAAACACAGCGTCTCAAGAAAAACACTTGCTCCCATTTTGTGGAGGTTTTATCATGCTCTGGGGCTGCGTTGCCAATGCTGTCATTGGTAATCTTGTTAAAGTTGAGGGTCGCATGGATTCCACTCAATATCACCAGATTCTTGAGAATAATGTTCAAGAATCGGTTACGAAGATGAAGTTACGCTGAGGATGGATATTTCAGCAAGACAATGATTCAAAACACCACTTCAAATCTACTCAGGCATTCATGCAAAGCAATGTGATGGCCAAACCCATGGCAACACCTTAGGTCTGGACTATACATGCACCTTTTTTTGTTTAATCCATACACATACTTTAGTTTGCAATAAAACTTTATTCTTAGTTAAAATACGTGTTCTATTTCTAAGCGTGAACATTTAGTTCACTGTATTTGTTTGCACTCATTCATATTTCTTTCAGTTTTTGTCACTAGTCTGTTTCCTACCTTCTATGGTGCCGAGGAGTTTGGCCAGACAAAAGACGGCAGCCAGGGCTCAGATCTGCTAAATGCAGGAGGGGAAATTAGAATGTTTCATCGAGCTGCTGCTCGAAGGAGGGGATTTGAAATTTCCTTTTCTCATTTTTGCATTTTCACTTAAGATTTGGTTTCCTGTTGGTGTGTTTTCATTTTTCTAAGATGCAGATTAGTTTATTTCCTAACCTGACTGTACTGCTGTGGTTTGTAATATTGTGTTAATGGTCTTATCAGCCAGTGTGTGTATATATCTATATATATATATATATATATATATATATATATATATATATATATATATATATATATATATATATATATATATACCCTCGTGTTATTTCTTTGTTAGGTCAGTTATGTTTGTTTATGCAGTCAGTTATTTTGGGCACAGTTTGCTTGAGTTAAACTTTCTCTTTTAAGAAACATATATTTTTGGTCAGTTTCTTTTTTTGGGTTAAAAATAAAAACTCAATTAAGTCCTGTGACTCCTCATGCTTCTTACCTCAGTCCCTCACAAGCAACAATTCCAATGTTGTGGAATGGCCATCCCAATCACCAGACCTGAATATCATTGAACATCTGTGGGATGATCTGAAGCAGGCTGTCCACGCTTGGCGACCATCAAACTTAACTAAACCGGAATTGTTTTGCAAAGAAGAATGGTCAAAAATCCCTTCATCCAGGATCCAGGAACTCATTAAAAGCTACAGGAAGTGAAAAAAGGATGTTGTTTTTGCAAAAGGAGGATCTACTAAATATGAATGTCTTTTTTTGCTGAGGTGCCCATAGTTTTGCACCTGTCAATTTTTTTTCTAATGCATACTGCACATTTTGTTAGTCCAACAAACCTCAATTCAAAACTGTAATATTACTGTGTTCATCAGTTCTTAGATATATCAAACTGAAATAGCTGTTGCAAACATTTAGAAATGAAAATAATTAAGATTAATAGGGGTGCCCAAACTTTTCATATGGCTGTATCTCTTGGTCATGTGAATCTGCCTGAAGTGTTTCCGTCTTATTAACAGATACTTCTTCTCAAAGCTGCATGTTTCCTATCTTGCCATATATTGGTGTTAAAAAAAAAAAAAAACTATATATATATATATATATATATATGTATATATATATATATATATAAATGTATATTTGTGAAAATCAAGAAGATTTTGTGGAATTGTTAAGTCTGTGTTTTTCTGTGGGTTCTTCATTTAAAATCTGACCAAATATCCGCTAATATTCCTTATGGTTTTAGTTTATAAGTGAATTTAAAAAATGAAAAACGTAACAAATCTTGATTTTTAACCATTTTCCAAACCATTAGTTTATTATAATACTAATTGACCACTTCTTTTAAAAGTTTTTTTCGTTCCCTCGTGTTTTATATGTTGTTTTTTTATCAATAATTACCTTTTAAACGCGATGATGACTATTATATCAGTTTTTAAAGAGCAGTGCTGATATTTATAGAGTTAGAAAATAAACATGTCAGTTTAAGCCCTTTCAAGTCTAAACACTGAGCGTAGGTGCATGCATCATCCTGAAGAAGACAGGCATGTCAAAGGGGGACATGGAGTAAAAGAGGCCGGGACACGGGGCGGGTACCTCTGGGAAGGAGAGTCGTCTTTCACTCTGTGTCAGCCCAGTTCTGCACGCTTCAGCTCACAGGGTGACAGGCGCTCTGGACAGCCAAACACGCGCTGCTGCACACACCACCCACTCACACAAAAATACTTAATCATGAGCGCAGATACACATGAGCGTCCCTGTACCATTTCCATGCAGCCTTTCAGTGGCCCATTACTCCAAAAGGAAGTCTAAAACCACTCAAGAGCATCAGCCACGTGTTCCTTTTTAATTTGACAAATAGGCTTAATGCCAGTGTTCTTAGCCGAGTAGCCGCCTACACACTGTCAATATCTACTGCAAAAAAAAAAAATGAAATTAGGCTGGTTTGCTCTCTGTCTTCGCTTACGATTGGTTTTTACACTCCAGCTTGAAACTTTTAGTCCAATTACTGCAGCAGGTCTACATTGCTTCCAATTAGCAACTCCAGCTCCAGCATGGACGTGCCAAAATGACTAATTTTAGATGTGTGATTAGCAGGGAAGCATATCGACAAAGTTAGCAGCTGTCTGTCTTCCTTCCTGACCCGTACAGGCAGGTGCGTTTTCATCGCATCAGATTTTATATCAGCTTTAGATCTATGTTTGTTTTTGTTTTCCTGCAGCCAGTGACAGCAGGGTGGTGTCCTGTGCCGCAGTATGGCGGATGCCCTCCGACTGGGACTCGGGAAGCCACGAGTCACCTGATGACTCTGCCCACAACGCTCAAACTCTGGAGCTGCTCTGTCATCTAGACAACAGTGCCCACGGAAATGCTGCCTGGTAGGGCTCACCTCGATACAGAAGCGGTTCTTTAAATCAAGTTCTTCTCATCATTTTAGGGAAAATTACACACATTCTTTATTAATTTTATTTGCTAGATTGGCTAATGTGGAAAAATATGTTTATTTTGTCTTTTAGTGATTAAACTGGTTAGTTTTAAGGGATGTCCTGATACGACTTTTTCATTTCCAGTATGATACCAATATTGCACCTTTGAGCACTGAACAATCAGCACAAATCATAAATTACTCAAACAGAAAATAGTCTAGAACAAAAGTTATTAGAACAACTGATGCGTGTATTATTAAACTTTGGTTTATATAAACTTTAGACCAAAGTTGATAGAAGCTGAGTGTTTCTGTCAGGATTTTAGATGAAGGCTTATACACTTATTTCCAATATCAGTAGTGAAAGGACATCCTCGTTGAACTTCAGACATGTGCTTCTAGTGCTAAACCAGAAAAGCACTTGGTTTAATCAATATAAGAAAAATAAAAACTGGAATGATGATCCAAAATGACCAGTAGAATGATGGAGGGACACATCCTAAATGTGATTTTTCTCATCAGATTGAATTAAGTTAAATGGAATATTTCTGGGTTATTGCAGCTCTTTCTCTGTCTGTGAAAAGTTGAACTTTTCTGTTGCAGAACAAGGTCTTATTATAGTTTATCTTCTATAATTAAAATATCCCAAAATAACCTTTCTGAATAAAAGTTTGTCTTTTCGAAGTAGTTTGGAATTGTAATTTCTGACCTATGCATTGAACTCCTACCAAAAGAAATATAAAGAAGTCTATTATATGTTTCTTTAATGGCAAATAAGGGGAGTGTTGGCCTAGTGGTTAGAGCCTTAATGCCACACTGCTCTCCGGGCGCCACACAATTGCAGCCCACTGCTCCCCAAGTGGATGGATTAAAAGCAGAGGTTAATTTCTCCATTTTGAGGTCAATAAAGTTCAATTTCTATCCTTTTCTTTTTTCTAGACTAAATCACTTCTCAACAATTAGAGAAGAAACATTGACTTTGTAAAATGTAAATCAGTTCTTTAAAACATCCTGGTCATAAAACAATGTTGGCCGCTGTCTAAAGCGGGGCTGGGCAACTCCAGTCCTTGAGGGCTGGTTTCCTGCAACATTTAGATTCATCCTTGGTCCAACACACCTGAATCAAATTAGTAAAATTACCTCCCGAGTATGCAATCAATTTCACCAGCGTCTAATTATCTATTTACTTGATTCAGGTGTGTTAAGTCAAGGACATATCTAAAAGTTCCAGGATAAAGGCCCTCCAGGACTGGAGTTGCCCACCCCTGGTCTAAGGGGATCATTCATTCCTCTAATTGTCTAGTTAGATACTCATCGTTATGATGAGTTTTTTTTTTTTGATTTAGACATTGGCCATACAATATACACCCAAGAGAGCTGTAAAATTATAAGCGTAATCACAGAACCCCAGGAAGCCATTGAACTGTTGTCATAGACTTGTAAAGGAGTGACGTGGAGTGTGTTCTAGCCCCCCCTAGTGAACAATAGATGATTAGCATGTTAAAAGTTTACACTTAATAAAACAAAAACAAAAAATCACGTGCCACGGTCAGACAGATTGAAACATCTTTGGCTGATGCTCATCATCTCTTTCTTTCAACTTTTAGGCTGATATGAATATTAGAAATATAGTTGCTAAATTTAGTGGTATCTTCCTCTACCTCTGAGTTTTTTGCTCACTCCTAGCTTCGCTGCTGATTCGGGGAAAAAAAGTAATCTAATTTCAATGCAATCTGAATCACTAGTTTACTACTGGAGAGAAAAGTTTAAGTAAACTGTTTCTTAATCAGTTTTTAAAGTGTTATAACAACACTGCATCTGTTTGCTCATTTAAGGCAAATACAAAACAATAGGAAAAAAAGTCACAAACTGTAGATTTTTGTTGATTCAGCCAAATGATGACAACATCATGTGGTTTTCTTTCTATGTTAATTTTCTGTTTACAAAAACAAGATGCTAGGGCAGTAATTTTGTAGCCTGACGTAGTCCGACTCAATTCTAGTCAGAATATGAGTCTGATACTGCTCCATAGAGCTGTGATTATGGGGCGTGTTTCGAACGAACCAGGAAAAAAGATGCCTCTGCACTCAATTGGATAGACCTACAACCAATAAGAGCAACGGAGTGCGTGACGTATGTTAAGCGAGGCATAGTTGTTGTCCACAAAAATCAAAGCGTGCAATTGCACGCCTATAATAAGAAGATGAGCCTTGATCGCGTTTCTCTGTTCCTCTTTTAAAATTAATTTGCTGTCGATATCTTCTAGAACAGACCTAATAGCAGAATCTACTCACCTCAACTCTCCAGCGGCAGCCATTATTGTTGTCACCCAAGCGCACATTGGTCACGTGGTTGATTACGTGACTGTTGGTCATCTGTCCATCATGGTATAAAGCCCGCCCTGACAATTTGATTGGATCGCCTGGCAGTGGGCGATAATACTCGCGCTACTATTGAGCAATGCCAGACCGAACTTCCCCGACCTCAAACTTTGTGGGCGGGACTAAGTTCGGAATGGCACCCAGGCTAGTAATTTTGGGGTGATTAGGGGTCTCCTCATTTAATCTCAGAAGGAAGCTCCTCTTCAGTCACTCATAATTTAAAAAAAAAATAAAAAAAATATATATATATATATATATATATATATATATATATATTATACAGAAGTCCTTCTTTCAGCACTGAAATGTAGTTTACAATTTCTGCTCCAGTTCTGACCTGTATTGTAACCCAAAAACCACCATGCATGTATCAGCATGTTCCTACCACTAACTGTACCACACGTATGGCCTATTTTATGCTTGGTTTGTGGTTATAAAAGCCTAATATTTCTCCCAGAAATCAGTCTGTTATACTTTTGAGGGTAACATTACTATCAAAGTGATATTTCAGTGATCCTATTTAATGCAATTTAATCCACAGTTTGTGTCCTGATTTTTTCCTTGAAGATAATTTTAAGGTAATGCTACATCTTGTGGCTAGAAGGAAAGTTAAAATACTGATCTCTCCTTCATTTGGCTCAGACACTAAGAAAAAAAAAAGAACTCTGTTTATTATTGTTTGAAAAAGATTTATTAAAGATGCAGAACAGATGCTTTGAGAGAACAGAACAAAAATTATACAGACAAAAGACAGAAGTGATTAACCACAGTAAAGGAAGAGCTTACTTTATCTTAGCTTTTATACTATATGATCAATCAAAAATATGAAGTCCCCTAAGGATGGGCAATACATCATTATCTATATATGTTACCTTAGACAACTGATCTACACTCACTGGCCACTTTATTAGGTATCATGCTAGTAACGGGTTGGACCCCCTTTTGCCTTCAGAACTGCCTCAATTCTTCGTGGCATAGATTCAACAAGGTGCTAGAAGCATTCCTCAGGGAGTTTGGTCCATATTGACATGATGGCATCACACAGTTGCCGCAGATTTGTCAGCTGCACATCCATGATGCGAATCTCCCGTTCCACCACATCCCAAAGATGCTCTATTGGATTGACATCTGGTGACTGTGGAGGCCATTTGAGTACAGTGAACTCATTGTCATGTTCAAGAAACCAGTCTGAGATGATTCCAGCTTTATGACATGGCGCATTATCCTGCTGAAAGTAGCCATCAGAAGTTGGGTACATTGTGGTCATAAAGGGATGGACATGGTCAGCAACAATACTCTGGTAGGCTGTGGCGTTGCAACGATGCTCAATTGGTACCAAGGGGCCCAAAGAGTGCCAAGAAAATATTCCCCACACCATGACACCACCACCACCAGCCTGAACCGTTGATACAAGGCAGGATGGATCCATGCTTTCATGTTGTAGACGCCAAATTCTGACCCTACCATCCGAATGTCGCAGCAGAAATCGAGACTCATCAGACCAGGCAACGTTTTTCCAATCTTCTATTGTCCAATTTCGATGAGCTTGTGCAAATTGTAGCCTCAGTTTCCTGTTCTTAGCTGAAAGGAGTGGCACCCGGTGTGGTCTTCTGCTGCTGTAGCCCATCTGCCTCAAAGTTCGACGTACTGTGAGTTCAGAGATGCTCTTCTGCCCACCTTGGTTGTAACGGGTGGTTATTTGACTCACTGTTGCCCTTCTATCAGCTCTAACCATTCTCCTCTGACCTCTGGCGTCAACAAGGCATTTCCGCCCACAGAACTGCCGCTCACTGGATGTTTTTTCTTTTTCGGACCATTCTCTGTAAACCCTAGAGATGGTTGTGCGTGAAAATCCCAGTAGATCAGCAGTTTCTGAAATACTCAGACCAGCCCTTCTGGCACCAACAATCATGCCACGTTCAAAGTCACTCAAATCACCTTTCTTCCCCATACTGATGCTCGGTTTGAACTGCAGGAGATTGTCTTGACCATGTCTACATGCCTAAATGCACTGAGTTGCTGCCATGTGATTGGCTGCTTAGAAATTAAGTGTTAATGAGCAGTTGGACAGGTGTACCTAATAAAGTGGCCGGTGAGTGTATATATAAAATACTTCCAATAAATATATTTGAACAATTCTACTGAACTAAGATCCAGAACAACACGGCCTCTCAACCTCACTGCCAAATAAAACAGTCGATAGTATGGCTGGTCCATTTTTAAAGGTCAAATGTTATGTTTTAATAGGATTAGGGTTAGAATTAAAATTCAGTCCTGATTTCAAATACATAAAAAAAGAAAAAAAAAAACAACTAATCAGTCTAGGCTGATATGAAATCGGATTTATTTTCCAGCCGTATCGATCAGCCCTACTGTCACCTTGTTGGTCTGGATTATAACTACCTTGATTCCGTCTTCAACTAATAATTTCTAATCTCTTATTTGAAGCACTGCTGGTCTTATAGCTAAAATGCTAACTCTACCCTTCTGCTGTATTGCTAATAAGGTTCAATACATTCATTCATAGTGATGATTTAACCCTTTAAAGCCTGAACCAGGAAATAATTGACAG